CCTAACTCGACAAATTAACATCCAACTGTTACCAGCAGCAAGATCGAAATGTCACTTTTCGATTATATCAATCTATCAAATTCAAATTTATCAATTCCTCATCAAAACAACGCACATAAATATGAACGAATCGAAGCCCGACAAGTACAATTCAAACGAGAACAATCATCCCCTATCCCTAGCGAAGAAATTAGCTACGTAACATGAATTCAATGCAAATAATTATTCCTCTCGCATCAACCATTGTTCATGAATTAACAAAGAGAGAAACAACTTACAATAAATCTCAATTCAATGTTGAATCCAAAATACAAGCTTGAATCCTCGAACAATAATAGAAAGAAGAAGAAAATTGGAGAGGAAAGATTAAAAGAAGGAGAAGAAAGGGAGAAGAAGAAGAAGGAAGAGTGTCGTGATTTTTCTCGGGACCTAGGGTTGGTCCCCCCGCGGTCGAGAGTCAGTTTTAATCGAAGACCCGATACATTATTTATACTGCCAGCGTGAAAAATCTTGGCGCGGCGTGAGGGAACTAGCAGCACGGAGTGGGAAGAACTCATGGCACGACGCGATGGGGTGCAGCGACGCGATAGGGGATGGTGTCGCGACGTGGGAGCGTGTCGTGGCGTGGGGGACTGATCTGTCGCGCCGCGGAGGGTGTTGCGGCGCGACACGCAAATTCCTGGAAGTGTCTGTCCGGGTCGCGGCGCGACGCACGCGCGGTGCCTGGCAGCTCGCCCTTCTTCGCGTTTCGGGCTCGTTTACGCTCGTTTGGACTCGGAATTGAGTTCCGTTTTTTCCTACGCGTCGCTAACGAGTCCCTCTTTCTAATGATATCAGCTTCTCCAACAGATTCTCGAAAACCTGTTCTCCCAGGGTCTCCAAACTACACACCAAAAACGAAAAGAGAACAGAAAAAGACCGAAAAACAAACGGAAAATACTGCAACACTCAAATGAACGCAAAACACATAATAAATGACAAAAAGATCCTAAAACCACTTAAACGACTCAATACGGGGAAAAAAAAAGGGAAAATAAGCACGAAAAATGCAACAAAAATTAGACAAACATAATGATTAAAATATTATTACTAGTTAAATATTAAATAAATAGTAAAAATCTTAAAAATGATATTATTATTTTTTTATTTTTTTTCAATTATGTTGATAAAATAAGGAGAGAAATTTGAACGAAATAAATGTTAATCTTCTTAAAATTATATCCAACTAGTTGTCATCCTGTGCACATGCACAATTTACATAAAAAATAATATAATTATTTTATATAAAAATAACAATTAAAATAAAAATTAAATCAATAATGTTTATTATAATTATAATTTCATTGTTATATTACTTACTCTTATCTGAAATTTTAGATTTCAATAAAAAGGTATCATGAGGAATTTATCATATGCTCATTATTATATGAATATAATAAATAATATAATTTTATATATACTTTGAGTATCATAATGATACTAATCATAAAAGTATCACAAAGTAAAAATAATAATCTAAATTTGAAATGGACAATAAATTTATTTTATAGTAAATGCTAATCTTTTTAAGATATTTATGATTTTAATTGTATTAAAATACATGTACAATTTGGATTATTTCATCTAATAAAATTTCACTTATAATTTTGATACATATACGTTCAGTACTTTTATTACAAAAATTTTGTCATTATAAAATATCTCAACTAACTTGTAAGACACAAAGTTTTTTAGCACTTAGATGAAAACAAAATTAAAAAATCATTACATTCATTAATATACTACTTTGTAGAATTTGTGTCCATATCAACACTTACAAATTTATTTTAAAATAAAATCTAAAAAAAAGTAAAATAAATGATAAAAGTTAATATAAAATCTACATTGCTAACCTGAAAATTTAAATTGATTTTTTAAGATAAAGAATCACATCAAAATAATAAAGAAATCCCTTCAAATAGAAAAATGCAAAATAATTAATAGGATTACGACTTGTTTTTATAATTTATTTAATAAGACAAATTTGAAATCTATATATTACTTCTGAATAGTTATCTTGAAACTCGATTATCCAAGATGATTAAAATTAAGTATGAATAATATGAAGTCTAAAATTAAATTTATTTTTCAACCAAAAGAAAAGATACATAACTCATATTGTATGATTATACCAAAATATAATAATACTTATTTATCAAAATAACAAATCACATGCTTAAGTTTATTTCTAAAACATAACCGTTACAATTTTATGAATATTATAGTATTTATTACAAATTTAATGATATAACCATAAACAAAAACAAAGGAAAATTAAAACTTACTAAAAAAAGGTAAGAAAAATTGAGCGGGAAATTTTTACTTTTGTAATAAATGAATAACTTACAATTATATATACTAGTATTCAACCCAGTGCATTTGCACAAATGTAAATAAAGTATTGTGGT